TAGCCAACACAGGTTTATGTATATTTATTTTCTAAAATGTTGGTAAAATGGGGACATTCATAGTTAAGGCCACTTGCAACACGTTTTATTAAATATAAGTATATTCTAAATATACACTAGAGGTACAAGTACTGTGAGCACTGAACTCACAAAATGATACCCCTCGCCTCCCATATGCTTACAATGGCAAAGTCCATGTTTTGTTATGGGAGACCCGAAATAAGTGACTGATCAAAACGTAAAGTAGGAGGTGCATAATGATTCTATGTAATAAAGATTCTGTGAAAGTTTCATTAAATTTTATTCAGTGGTATAGGAGGAGTTGTGGAAGAGAGATGGATACCCCATAAATACTATAGAAAAAAAAATACAATTTTCTATGATGTACTAATGGAAAACCGAACTATGTATCCGATCAAAAGGTAAATTAGGAGGTCTCAATAGCACTAGGTAATAAAGATTCTGTGAAAGTCTCATGAAATTTTATTCAGTTGTATAAGAAAAGTTGCGGATAAGAGATGTGTACCCCAATGCGTAGTGGACGGACGCACAGACAGACGGAGGACAGATACCCCTATCATTATAACCCCCCCCCCTTTTCAAGCGGGGAGTATAATAACCGGTCAAGGTAGCATAGTGATAGGGCGTTAGCTTCAGACCGTGCCACACTATTACGATTTATGCTACGTTTACCCACTACTTAAAAAAAGTCGAAAATCGCCCTTCATCGCCAGGTTAGCCTCGCGATTTTTCCAGAGCGTGTGGAATTTTTTGCTGCTGTGAGAACGGGGTGTCTACGATGTCTGTGTGACAAAGTAAGAGGTTTGTACGATTTTTAAGTAGGAACCGAGACGACAGCATTACGAATTGGTTACGATAATTCCACGATTATTAAGGATTAAACGCGGGTACATATATACGATACTCGTACGAAGTACTACGATATGGCACGATACATACACGATTATGTATATCCTACGATTAATGATGATTTCTCACGAATATACATGTAATGAAATGCATATAGAAAAAAGGGAGAGTTGTTTGAAATTATTAAACATCATAGTAAAGTTGATCAGGGTAAAAGCTACAGTGTGGAGCTTTTGATTATGTTCAGTCTTCATAGTTTCTGTGACAAAGCATTTTCAGTTTATTTCACTTTTCTTAGCCTCTTTCTTTTTATTTTATGTGGTATTTTGTCTTCAACAGTGTTAACATCAGACAACGTTTGCCTTCATAGTGTTAACTCGTAGTTCAATCGCACAGTACTCGTACAGAAATTGCCATCAATTGTCCTTTTTCGTATCATATTCGCGGGAAAGTCGTACTATGTTCCTTTCAATTCGGAGAACACTCGCAGTAACTCGTATGACACTGGCATTGTCGCGAGTACTTAGTAATACGAAGTTCCACGAATGTCGAAGATTTACTACGAATTTGTGTACGAGTGCAGTGCGTGTGTTGTGCGGTTGTCTACGAATACTTAAAAATCGTACTGTGTCTACGATTGTTTTGAACATGCTCAAAACAATCGCTACGTTATTGCGATTTGCTGCGATTCAAAACCATAAACGAAGATATCCTATGACTTCATCTACGATAAATTCCGATTTGATGTGATTTATGAATTCGAAATGAATCGTAGCTATAAATTGTGACATGGGCTTTCTTGATCGAGAGTCCCGTATTCGATTTTCATTCCTTCTGCTACTTCAAACTCCGACGTAAACAGAGGAACATGTAGTAAATGTTCCTTTGCTAAGCGCCCGAAAGCTGAAATAAGTCATGGGTTATTCGGATGAGACCTGTAAAACAGAGGTCCTATGTCACGGTAGACTTTGGCACGATAAAGAACCCTCAATACTTAATGGCACTGAGTGCCGATTAAAGATCTAAATTTGAAGCCCTTCAGTGGCATACGGTGACATCTTCATAAGAGTGAGGAATTCTCGAATGGCACGTTAAAGAATATATATAATCAATCAATCTAAATCTATATTTATACTAGTAAAAAGTAACCACAGTTTTTTGTTTCAAGAATTCGCGATAATGCCGTAAAAAAATGTTTAAAAAGTGTACTGATTTATAAAGTTAACAGTAACAAGAGGCCCATGGGCCACATCGCTCACCTGAGCACATTGGCTAAGAAAAAGCACAAATCACTTCAGTATTGAAAAGTTTAAAGGGGGGGGGGGGCTTGGATTTTGAACTACCTAAGGATGCTTCCATAACAATATAACAAATGGCTTTGCTGTTCTTGAGCAGAAGATTTTTTTCCTATATATTCCCTTGTTAAAAATTTGATCCCCCATTGTGGACCCTCCCTACCCCCCCCCCCCCATCATTTGAACAAACTTGAATCTTCACTACCTGAGGATGCTTCCATATCAATATGACTAAATATGGCCTTCTGTTGTTGAAAAGATATTTTCCTATATATTTCTATGTAAAACTTTGATCCCCCATTGTGGCCCCACCCTAACCCTGGGGGTCATGATTCGAACAAAGTTAAATCTACACTATCTGAGAATGTTTCCATATCAATATGACTAATTGTGGCTTTGTTGTTCTTGAGAAGAAGATTTTTAAAGATTTTTTTCTATATATTCCTATGTAAAACTTTGATCCCCAATTGTGGCCCCACCCTACCCCCGGGGGTCATGATTTGAACAAACTTGAATCTGCACTACCTGATGATGATTTCACATCAATATGACTAATTGTGGCTTTGTTGTTCTTGAGAAAAAGATTTTTAAAGATTTTTTTCTATAAATTCCTATGTAAAAATTTGATCCCCCATTGTTGCCCCACCCTACCCCCAGGGGTCATGATTTGAACAAACTTGAATCTGCACTACCTGAGGATGATTCCATATCAATATGACTAATTGTGGCTTTGTTGTTCTTGAGAAGAAGATTTTTAAAGATTTTTTTCTATATATTCCTATGTAAAACTTTGATCCCCCATTGTGGCCCCACCCTACCCCCGGGGGTCATGATTTGAACAAACTTGAATCTGCACTACCTGATGATGAATTCACATCAATATGACTAATTGTGGCTTTGTTCTTCTTGAGAAGAAGATTTTTAAAGATTTATTCCTATATCTTCCTATGTAAAACTTTGATACCCCATTGTGGCCCCACCCTAACCCTGGAGGTCATGATTTGAACAAACTTGAATCTACACTATCTGAGGATGATTCCATATCAATATGACTAATTGTGGCTTAATTGTTCTTGAGGAGAAGATTTTTAAAGATTTATTCCTATATCTTCCTATGTAAAACTTTGATCCCCCATTGTGGCCCCACCTACCCCCGGGGGTCATGATTTGAACAAATTTGAATCTACACTATGTAATGAAGGTCTCACATAAGTTTCAACTTTTACAGCCCAGTGGTTCTTGAGAAGAAGATTTTTAAAAGATACCACCAAATTTTCACTAATTCTTAATTATCTCCCCTTGAAAGAGGGCATGGCCCTTCATTTGAACAAACTTGAATCCCCTTTACCCAAAGATGCTTTGTGACAAGTTTGGTTGAAATTGGCCCGGTGGTTCTGGAGAAGAAATCGAAAATGTGAAAAGTTTACAGATGGACGGACAGACGGACAGACAGACAGACGGACAGACGGACAACGGACAAAATGTGATCAGAAAAGCTCACTTGAGCCTTCGGCTCAGGTGAGCTAAAAAGTGAACATTTTGATAACCGTTTAATTAGACGATTTACAGATACTTCTTAATTATTTCAGAACCTTGATATTTGAATCAATTAATACGAAAATAAATCGGAAATCAAATACCAATTGTTTAATTCAATTTTTTTTTATTCGTAGAAAGTGTCCTTCAATAGAAAAGAAAAATTTAAAGACAAAATGTAAATCTTGAAATCTGTGCTGGATGGCTTTAAATCTACACTAACAAGAATTAGTTCATTTGAATAAGTATTTCACAAGCAAATTTATTTACAAAGTTAAATAAGGAAACTGTAGCTTATGATGGCTTATATGAACAAATATATAAAAGTAAACAATTTATGTGGAATTTTCAAATCTTTTAAATATCCATGATACCCCTTACAGTAAATACTATTGTAACAGTAAATCATTTTCCCCCTTTTGTTTTGGTTTTCATACTTATCACTTGTCGTCTCTTGACATGACAAATTATTTTAAGCTCATGAAATATTAAGACAACGAACGATTATAAGGCTCAAAAGTCCACCGATACAAAATAAATTGGGAGCAGAGTAAGCATGGTCCTCTTAAAAATCAGATGTGGGATCATATGACTTGGAAGAGTGAGCATTCCTTGTCGACGTCACCTTCGCCATGTGCTCCTGATCAAGCTATAACGGAGAATTCCGTAGACAATTCAGTGTAAGCAATGACCCGACAATCTGTCTAAAAACGTCAGTCATCATTCGATTTAAAGACAGATTGTTTGAGGAGACAAATGATAGATAAAAAAAACTACAGATTAAACAAAAGCGACACAGAAAAAAAACAATTTCGGGAGGATATCATTTTGCTTTAGACATTAAAAACACTGTCGTTGTATTTAAGCTTTAAAAGATACTTACCTCATGTAAATACAAAGTCGTTCTAAAATAATACTGTATGTGTACTTAAATTAGCGGGTTTCATATTTTAGTAACTTTGGCGCGGACAACAATGCGCTAATTCATGAATTCCGCTAATAAATCATTTATAAATACAATATATGGAACGTTTGTGTGTAGCACTAATTCATAAATACGCCAACAACTCAATACCCGGTAATTGCGCTAAATTTTGAATACTCCAATTTATGTACACGTACATGTACAGTACCTTATGTTATTTAAATATGATTTTTGCATTTAACAAAACTTATGAATTTCACCACTACCTATCTAAATAATAACATCATAAGATTTTCAATCCAAAGGTCATATAAAAACTAGACATCGTGAAAATTATCAGAAGAAACATATACGTTAACGATAATTGTTGCAATTCTTATGATTTTGCAAATAAATATTGATAAAAGGAAACTTTTTTGTAAAATGTTATTATAGAAATACTACGATCATAATTTTTTCCAAAAATGTACAATATCTTCTTCTCTGATTTGGTGACTATTTTGTGATAAGTGTGCTGGACATGACATTGTTGCTTTTCCTAGAATATCCTGCTCCTGTACAAAGCAATCTGACAGATAACTGTACACCTCTTGATAAGAGCACTGATAACCAACTGTGTACCGACAGCCTCTCTGAAATGTTTCTGTAATTTCTTTCAGTCTTTCTTCGATCAAATTTCTAATTTCAATAACAGTGTCCCTTTGCATCTCGTTTTTTCGGTGTAAAACCTGAATCTGTATGGAAGTCGTTGTGGCCGCCACCACCACTATATGGCCCTTATACAGAAAACAAGCTAAGTCCTTATAAAGATAATCCCCTGCCTCATCGAGTATATTAAAAGGCATTTCAGCTGAAATCATCGCAACAATCAAACGAAAATAAAAGAAATATGGAAAGAACTCGAATTGGTACACTATCACGGTTGTTCTATTTTGCACTGATTCGAAAAGATGTTTTCCCTTTGAGTCAAAGCTGCGTTTATTCATAGAAGGGACGTAATGTACTCGTGACCCACGACAATGGCTTTCTCCTCTTGCCAGTAAACCAAGTTGTTCCGCGTACAATAAGAGATCCTCTTTATGCTTATGTCCTGAATATCTTCTTTTCCAAATGTCATTTAAAAGACTATCTTTCAGATACCCCGTTTGATTAAAATACATCCAGTCGTGGTTGTCGTGCATCCTTAACCACAGAAAGTGATTTTGGTCTGTGATTACATATTTAAAGGCGTTAACGAACCACTGGACATCGACGATAACAATATCTCGAAGCAATCTTTCGTTAAAGAAAAGAATGACCCCGATATCGTTGTAAAATTTCATAAGGTCGACGGATTCTGAAAATACTTTCTGATGATATGATTCGCCCCTTTTAACAATTTTTACACCCTGATTCAACAAACGGCAAATGCTGTCTCCATACCAGACCCATTCAGTTGGAATGTTTGCTTCCCATTTGGCTCTTAAAGCGATTGAACAGATGCATTTTTCTAGTTCTGTCAAAGGTTCGATTAGTAGACTGAGATTTTTTGGAAATCCAGTAAAGAAACATCTTTCATTTGATATATGACGCTCCAAGTTTGAATCAGGTGGCAAAAGAACGAGGATTCTTTGGAAGAAAGACGATTTCTGTAAAACATAACCAACATACAATGCTCATTTGTGTATGTTTTTGAATATGAAATGTAAAGAGAAATATATCTGGTAATATGAGGAATGCTTAGACATGATGTAACAATATTAGACGGATTTCGAATACATGTATTTAATTCATTTTTGGACGGAGGCTCAGAGAGCTTCGAGTCCTTTACTATCGCTTTAATTTCAGTGCGTGAAATTGGTGATCGCTTACTAGCGGCGAAAAATGTCGATCAATTTTGACGATTAAAACTGGTTGCTCATCTTTATATGATTTCGGAGTCTTTCTTGTACACATTTGATAATGGCGTCATAACGATAAAAGAAATCTTGTACGATTTTTAAAAGGTACTTTCTATATCAGTAAGTTAAGGTGGAATTTGTAATTCAGTGTTATTGTATTTAAGCAGACGATTGAATTTATCACAAATAATGTTAAGGTTTTAACTCCTCTGAGCTAAAGGCTCAAGTGAGCTTTTCTGATCATAGAGTGTTTTGCGTCCGACTAACGCCTGTATAATATATATATATATATATATATATATATATATATATATATATATATATATATATATATATATATATATATATATATATATATATATATATATATATTATATTTTCGATTTCTTCTCAAGAAACATTGTGCCACTTTCAAGTTAACTTGCCACAATGCAACCTTAGGTAATGGGGATTTCAGTTTGTTCAAAAGAAGTGCCACGCCCTTTTTCAAAGGAAGATAATTCAGAATTCGTGAAAATTTGGGGTATCTTTTAAAATCATCTAAGAAAAGATAAAACCTATGTGTTCATATCACAATCCCCGGGGGTTGGTAGGGGCCACAACAAAGGGGTCGAAGTTTTACATAGGAGTATATAGGAAATGTCTTTAAAAATCTTCTTCTCGAGAACAGCAAAGTCAAGATTAGTCACATTATAAGAGATGTATCCTCAGATATTGTGGATTTAAGTTTGTTCCAACAGTGGTTCATTGTTAGTCATAATGAAATACGTAGGGGTTTAGTGCAGACACAACAGCGGGCCAATGCAAAGTTTTACATAGAAATTGATAAGTAATACCTTTAAAAACCACCTTCTCAAGAACATTAGCTGTTGAAGGTACAGGGTTGGCAAAAAGCGGGAAATACTCATATTTCCCAGGACAGTGGGAAATACTGGTAATTCCCGGGAAAAACTGGGAAATAAGAAATAGCTGCATATTTTAAACTTTAATCATATTTGCTTGGGTATAGACGTGTAGTATACCTTATTGGCTAAGATATCAACTTGGCATCACTGTCCCAGATTTGAAAATTTCTGGTTTCCTAGATGCCAAGGAAGCGTAAATTCAAGTTTGCCCCCCGTAAACTTTTCAATACTGAACTGATTTCTTTTGCTTTTTCTTTTTCCTTGCCAGTGTGCTCAGGTGAGCGATGTGGCCTATGGACCTTTTGTTTTACGATATGAATCGTCAAAAGCGTTAGAAAGAGTTAATTTGTCATCACATTGTGACCACATCGGTAGCACGAAACGAAATGCATAAACATTTTTTTCTCTCGTTGGTGTATCTTAAGGTAGTCTGATCCTCAGGTTCTGAAAATCAGCTTTTAAGTAATTGAAAATGCTCACAAAAATGTCTCTTATTTCACATACTAACGTGAATTTACCCATGGTATTTCTTCAAAGTTCATTATTATTGTTAATCATATTACATAGGGAAAATTATCAAATCTCATACTAGTACATATTTTCGGGAAATGCGAATAAAAACACCAGCTATGCATTTTCTAAAAGAATATTGATCAACAAATATAATTTAGGATAGAAAAATATAAGTATCCAGGCATTTGGAGAAAATTGCATCTCTTTTATGTTTATACAGTATTTTAGTTCTTCTCTTTACTCCAATTGTTATATAATACATAGTGTAAAAAGCTTGTGCTATCATTGCTAGACATCACATATCATGTCTAATTTCATATCATGCTTATAAGCATTGATATCTAATGCTAGACTAAGAGAAATTCAATTTTTCGAAAAAATGAATTCATTTTTTTCTTTTATGGGGTACAAATGACAACTTTTTATAAGGCGGTTTCTAACACTTCAACGAACCTTGAATCATATTGAGTTGCATAAAGTGAAAATTCTTGCACAGAAAGATCTCAGTTTCAGACTTTTTAATAAAATAATAAATTTAAAAGTTATGCTTCCTGGCTGAGGATTGGATATCCTTAATGTATCTTATATTTATTATATAAATATACAAACGCGAAACGCGAAACAACCTCTAGTTTGGTACATAAAAAGTTTAAACTTTATCAAGTTACAAATAAAGCCATTTGAAATATCATAATGATCTATATTACAAATGAAAAACTGCAATTTGAAGCTAATCTACTATTGTGTCCCCTTAATTACTGAGCCAGTAATACATATTAGAAGTTTGCAGTGGTGCCCCTCAAGAACACCTGATTTTTTTTTTTTTTTTTTTTTTTTTTTTTTTTTTTTTTTTTGGCTTATCAAGACTTTCTTTTAGGTTGTGCCCCCACACCCTTATAAACTGAAATTGCTTACTAGGGGCCTGTGTATTTACAGTCCAGTCAATTCATCATGAAACATCAGACTATTTTAAACACAATTCCTTATTTTGAGAAATAAACTCTAAAATGCACAAATTAAATATAATAAAAAATCTAACAAAAACTGATGAGGGAGAAGCATTATTTGGCGTTAAAAATTTTTTTATGAAAAATACTATAGGAAAGGTCCATAAGTCTTATCATTTTACAAACTGGATTATTTAAAAAACAAGCTAGTTCAGAGAATTTGTGTCCCCAGCTTAAGGAAAAAAGAAGAGGATGCGCAGATCGTGGGGAGTGGGGGTGGGGTGGGGGGTCGGACACCCCCCAGGATTTGTAGAATTATTAAATGTATACTAAAGCAAATAAAAATGCCAATATGAATATATAGATTTATTTGCTTATTCTTTAAGATGTGTGCAGAAGATTTTCTTTTATATAAAATATCTATTTTACTGCAATAATGATTTTATGAGAGGTTTGTACACACCAGACGTCATATCTTCATTTCATATGTTGAATACTATCATTTAGTACATAAAAACTCACACACAAAAATACGGGATCGTCCGGGATTCAAACCCGGGAACCTTCATATGCTAAGTAAGAATCATACCCGTAGACCAAAGAGGCGCTTCCTTATAAAGCAAATCAATGCAAACATTGAGTCACATATACATGTTTATATTCATGTTTGATATTGTCAAAATTTTACACAATACATGGTGTCTACTTTAGCCTTTACTAAACAGTTCTAATGTAGATGTAATTAGAATATAAAGTCCACCGACAACCTGTATTATTCGAAATAACTCTCCACTTGCTTCTGTGCTTGAAATAGAGCCACGCAACTTTTAATACAATAAAAAATACCGCGGCGGGACACTTTGAGAGGGGTGAGAGAGGCCCTAGGAATTTCATTTCAAAAGCTCAAAAGCTTCTTGAGATATCGCCCGAAAACGAAAGTGTTACACAGATAGAATGTATGAATTTACGACCTTGACCTTTGACCCTTTGACCTCAAAATCAATGGGGGCCTTCCTTTGACCACAGAGAGTTGCTATGTAAAATTTCATTGCAAAAGCTTAAAGGCTTCTTGAAATATTTGTCAGCATTCAAAAATTCATTATTAATTTTTTTTTTTATTTTGTCTTTGAAGCAAATAATTTGATGGTATTACATCTTTGTCTGATTTTAATTTCATTGAATTTATTTACTTGATTGATCTCTGAAAATTATGTATAAAAATGAACAGAAAAGTAAGGAAAGTGAATAGTTTGCAATAAATATGTGCCATATACTTTCTTAACTTTGATATTTTTTCTATGGACACTTCTTCTAGAAATTCTTTAAAATACTAAAATTAAAACATTTTTGAGGCCGTTTTGAAGTTGCTTCAGTTCAAATTGTACTGTATGTTATAACTAATTATTTACACATAGTAAAATATTGTAAAAAAAGCATTGAAAATTTTGGAATTTTATGTGATTTTTTTTTAACCAGAGCAATCCGATAAAAAATGATAGTATAAAAGTATAACAGGAGAAAAGTTGTAAAAATCTTTTGAGATGATGATTATTTGCTTGAATAAAAGGAAGCTACCATTTTTTGTGGATCTGGAACTACGTCAAGATGAGTTGCAACGATGATAACAGGCGTGTCGCTATCACAGTAGGTGTGGATCCATTTCAGCCAGAAAAGAAAATAATCTATACAATTCAGATAAAAAAATATATGACTTGAACATAAAATTAAAGAGTCACTCTTTCTCTCTTTTCAATTTCACAGAATTGAAAGTAATATAACTGAAAATCCAATCTGTTTTAAGTAAGCAAGCATTTTTAGGTTACCTCCATAAGTATAGTTTGCAAACATAGTGCCATCTTGTTGGCAAATAAAAGGGTCTACTCTCTCTTCGAAGGGTTTAGAGATATCCACTACTAGTAGAAAAAAAGCTCTTTGTTGGAGATAAACTTGATGGCAGGCGTAATACGCACACTGTCCCCCAAAATCCAAAACGTCTAAAAGAAGTTTCTTTTCTTTAATAGAATCTTTGGGGCAATCTAAATAAAATACAAAAAGTCAAGGTAACAGGAAATTGACTATCAAAATAGAGATAAAACATTTTGTAAAATTCTTATTTCATAACAATTCATCTATTACTCTTTATATCAAAAGAAAGCAATGTATGTGCACTTTGTTCTGGAAGAAAATTGTATAACTGTAAAAAATAATAATAATTATAATAATAATAATAATAACAACAATAATAATAATAATAATAATAATAATAATAATAACAATAGCTATAAAAATATGCTATTGCAAGCAATACCAAATGACACCCCGAACTAAACCATAAGCTGTAAGATTGGCCAATGTTTAAAGAAGTGAGTATTAGTAGAACGTAGACACCCCCCCCCTTTTTTTACCACATAAAGTAATACAAGGTAGTGCCTAGAAGAAAATTGTTTTTGAGAGATCTGAATTGTGTAAGATAAAATTACTAATTTTTCTCTGATATCCTAGAATAACAAGAAGGCCTCCTGTGGAAGACGGAATTAACAGAATACCAGGTTCACGTCAAAACATGGCTGAAGAAAAAAATCCTGAGTTTTCCTCTTCAATTCGGGCATTTTTTGCATTGGACGGGGGCTAAGCTTTTTAACAAGATGATAATCTATATGTAAACTTTCTTAATTTAGCAGAATCATGAATATTTCCGGCGTGGTAAATGTTTTGTGTACAGTAGTTATGAGGCCATCACGCATGTAGGAGCGGATCCCAGGATTTTCAAATTAATAAAAACGATAGAAATTTTTAAAAATAATTCTTATTAGCATTGAATGAAATTATTCATATGCAAGTAATACATTCACCAGAAAACGACAAATGCTAATGAATACAGCTTACAATCGCTACTTTTTAAAGATAAATTAATTCTAAATAAAATAATTATTAATTCTATAGACAAAACAGAGGAAGAATGAATGCTGGCAAAATATCAGATCACATCAGCAAAACTTAATTTTATTCGTGAAACTCTTAAGCTCTTCTCAATCAATTGTTTAAGTTTTATGTCTGTGTATTCTACCTAGCTGTTTCAAAGGGGGGGGGTCTTGAAAATAGACATGTTAATTAATCATCATTTTGTAGTAAGTATAAAGCCTTCGCATTTTGAAAACTTCATGATGAAGGGTTGCTTGTGATATAAAGGTCAATGTCATTTTATTTTGAATCCAAAACATAAGACAAAACTTGTTTTCAGAATAATTAGAGAGAGAGAGAGAGAGGGAGGTAAAATAAGACATTGTCACCTTTATTTGAAAAGAGGGAGAAATAATAATGCACACGAGATATATAGCATTTACAACCCCTTTTATTTAATAGAAACTCGTTTCTAGGGCAATAGGAAGATTTTCAGTGTCTTCTCCTTTACCAGAGAATTTTTATCTCTACACTTCGGACTATGTGTAATACTTCAGTGAAGTCCCCGTAAACTACATAAATAACAAGAGGCCCAAGGGCCTTAACGGTCACCTGAGTACAATACAACAATTTAGAGGATCCATAAACTGATAAATGAAGCTTTAAATAAAGCCCCATCCTTACACCATAACATCTGAACCATTGGCCATAAACTCACAAATCTGGAATAAGCACCCTTGCTCATCATGACTATACACTTCTCCCTTTGCTTTATAACCAGTAGTAGAAAAATATCTTGAAAGAAATTATGCATTTTCACTATATAATCAATAGACCCCCCCCCCCCCTTCACAAGAAACCCTTACTCTGGGGCCATGAATTTCACACATTTGGAAAAGGTATTCTTCCTTATCATAACCATGCACTTCCTTTGTTTGAAAAATACCCAGGAGCAGAGAAGAAATTTTGAAAGAATTTATGCATTTTCCCTATATAATCAATAGAGCCCCGCCCTTACACCAGAACCCCTGACCCTGGGACCATGAAATTCAAAATTTTGGAAGAGGCAACCATGCTTGTCATTACTATGCACTAAGTTAGTTTATTTAAAATCCAAAAGCAGAGAAGAAGATTTTCAAAGAATTAATGCAATTTTACTTTATAATAAATAGAGCCCCACCCTAACACCTGAACCCCTGACCCAGGGGCCATAAAATGCATAATTTCTGAAAAGGCAGCCATGTTCACTATAACTATGTTCTTATTTAAATAGTTTATTTAATACCCAAGAGCAGAGAAGATTTTCAATGAATTAATGTATTTTTACTATATAATCAATAGAGCCCGCCCTAACACCTGAACCCCTGAGCCAGGGGCCATGAAATTCATAATTTCTGAAAAGGCAGCCATGTTCACCATAACTATGTACTTACTTAGTTTATTTAATACCCAGGAGCAGAGAAGATTTTCAATGAATTAAAGCATTTTCACTATATAATCAATAGAGCCCCGCTCTAACACCAGAACCCCTGACCCTGGGGCCATGAAATTCACAGTTTTGGAAGAGGCACTCTTGCTTATCATAACTATGTACTTACTTAGTTAATTTAATACCCAGGAACAGAGAAGAAGATTTTCAAAGAATTCATGCATTTTCACTATGTAATCAATAGAGCCCCGCCCTAATACCGAAACCCCTGACCCTGGGGCCATGAATTTCACAATTTTGGTAGAGGGCTCAACGCTTATTACAATCATGCCAACAGTTCGACTGCTTGATATCCAGGAATAAAAAAGAAGATTTTTAAAGATAGCATTAATTTTGGTGGTTTTAGCCCCACCCCTCAGGCCCCAGGGGGCCAGGAACCATGAAATTCACAATTTTTGTTCCCCTTCACCCATAGATGCTATATGCCAAATTTGGTTGAAATTGGTTGAGAGGTTTTTAGAGAAGAAGCTGAAATGTTCAAATGTTAACACACAACGGACGACGGACGACGCACGACAACAGATAGCAATAGGTCACCTGAGTGACTCAGGTGACCTAAAAATAAAATGATCATTTAATTACTAGCCCTTCGAGTCCTCGATGGGTCCATGTAGCGAAGTTAAGGTTGTTTATTGTAAGGAGTATTATTCTGAACATATTTTGTCAGTAATGCGTATCTAAATAGCAATTATATACTGAAAGGTAAAAGAAATGCAGGGTACCATTATGTGCGAAAGTTTTTTGACTGCATGACCGAAAATTTCAAAAACTGGTCAGAGGGTATCTTGGTTTTGGTGCACTGAACTACTCGACCGTGAAATGTATGATGTCACGTAGAGCCGAAAACGGGTACATATTGATGATGACAGTTTTGTCAACATACAACGTTATTCCATTTGATGCACTTGAGCTTTACACATTGTTTTTTATTTTTATCCGACGATACGAATATCTTGAAATCATGGCAAGGATGACGGAAGTTCCATGGGGTCTGGTTATTCTACTGCCTAGTGCCTAAGCAAGGACAAGGCAACATTTGGTTGCTTGTAGTTTGGTGAATTTTTTCACGATTGAACGTCTTATCCGTAGTCAGAGAGGGCATTGAGGGGTTTCAACCAACTGTGACAATGACGTTGACGTGAAGATCGGGCTGTTTAAACGTCCACCTTTATACTCGCCACCTCACTACAACTTAAACTGCTATTAAAACAGAAGCCTAACTTAAAGAAACCGATTGCGTAAATTTGGATTGTGAGCTCCGCAATTTTACAATTGCGTTTCTCTCACTCGAGCACGCGTGCGTCGTCTGCCTAATTTTGTCAACATGTTTACTCCCGGTCCATTGTAGCCAGGGTTTGTCAATACTTTCTCGCAAACAATCACATTTACCCACTCGATTGGTACCCGTAAAAACATCTTCTTCTCATCGAACTCTGTGGGACTAAGTGGAGGGGTGTTGCTAAAACGCAGAACGGAAAACGGAAAGCGGAACGGAACGGAAACGGAAAATCTTGAATCAAGTCATTTACTTTGTACAGATGTAATTAAGACAGAAACCAGTATACTATCTATATCTTACAGTTCATTTCTAGTTAAAAACATCAATACAATGTAATTTTCATTTTTTTTAGAACGAGCTTGTACATGCGATGGCCAATAAAGTATGTACATTACAGGCGCGGATCCAAGCATTTTTTCCGAGGGGAATGTTCCATCCCGGTCTAAGAAAAGTTCAACCCAGAAATTTAATGACAAGCCAAAACAACTACTTTCCCCAACGCGAAAAAAACTATTTTGTAAGGGAGGGGGGGGGGGGGTAAGCCGCATTCCTATACTTTTTTAAGCCTGGTATGTAATACATGTATGTATGACTTGTCCTACATGTACCATCTGAACAGGGTGTGTGATTTTCAGAGGTATGTCTTTTTAAAGTTATTTTACTATGTACATTTACTAACTTCACGAATTCCAAGGGGGGGGGGGATTCGAACTCTTATCCATCAAAGACAAAACTCTTTTTTGGGGGATCATTTATGATACTGTGTTTTAAAAAGGTACAGACAGAGAGAAAGAAATGTACACATTCATGTTCATTCACATTAATCACGGCATTAAGGAACTTGGATGAAAAAGACACGTCTGTGCAACTACAGGATTGTAAGTACAATCAAAGAGATGTTACTTCAAATAAAGTGGTAAATAAGTGTTTCGTGATGTGTTTGAAAACAGCTGCTGTAGCATGATTCTATAAAAGATGCGGTCTTGGTTGCTTTGTGTCCCATTGTATTTTAATTGTCTGGAACATCTGTTG